TTATTGGATAAGACTCTAGGTCTTATTATCCAATCATATTTAGTTGTTGTCTTTGAATATATTGCATCATTTCCGGTTGTGGTCAAACATGATTACAATGGTTTTAGTATTCTAATTTAGTCACTTTAAATCAATGCAAGAAAAATGAGTAGTCTCAGTATTGTTTATAATCAAGTAAAGGGTACTTTATTTAATAATGTAAATAAGAGAAACATGAAAGGCTTGTGTAGCATTAACTAAATTCATTTGTGCAAATTCAAAAGCCTGCCAATTCCCATTTTTTCAGTGTATGCAGATAAATTTAAAGCATGACTCTACTTGAATATTTCAGAACAAATGGCAGTGTGTTGAGGCTATTCGGTGCTCACAGTTAACTGTCCTAGGGTGTGGTGTACTCAGATAAAATATGTCTGTTGTTTGTCTCCTGCTTTGCCTCTTCAATCTCAGTAATTTTTCTACATGGCTACATTTTCTATGAGTTTTCGGATTGTGTTTTAAAGTAATTTTAAAAACAGCCTGTAAATGTAGACTCAGGGTACACAACAAATCAAACATACTAGGTCTACTAATTGTACAAATTGTACGCTTGTTGTACTCTTTAAAACTGTAAATGGGCACTCTTGCACATTTTAGTTTATAACCTCTGGACATAGTATGTGTGAGTGCAAATATATTTGTATTAATTTATTGTTAAATGTTTTTTTTTTTTTTTTAATGGAATAGTTAAATGACTTGAGCCCAATGCCCCATGTCAAAGGTGACTGCCTGTGCAGTCCATGCACTCCGGTGCAGATCCCAGACATTATTTTGAATTGGAAGACCAGTGGTAAAGGGTCACAGGGTCATCCTTCAACCTGCTCACATTAGCTGTCAGCATCCTCTATTGGACATATGTACCATATCCATATGTTCATCCTGTTCACATCGAATGATGAGACTTTCTGCATACAATTGTTTAAATGTCAAAAGTTTTTTCTTCATAACAGTTCAACCCTTTATTGACATCATTGAGTTACTGAGAATTCACTGTCTGAGAGTAAATACAACAGTGCATGCATACAAAAAAATTATGTATAACTGAAAGAGGAATACATTTTTTGTCAAATACAGTGATAATTTTGATTGATGATTATGTTTTATTGCTTTAGAAAGAGCAACTCTATCTGTAATTGTTAAGCAATTTGAATTAGGCGTATTACCAAGTGTAATTCAAAGGGAAATCTAGGCCTGACTTTTACCATCCTTTTGTGACTTTGTGTTTACATCTTTGTTCATCTTTTTTTATATATGTTATGCACAGCTGGATTAACAATTAACAATGCTTTACTGGGACTCTGATATATTGGCACAACAGGCACCGACACACGCCACGTCTCCTTTCTGTCTGGTAAATTTACATTTACCAGACTTCAACTTTGTAGAAGACAGGCCTCTTCAGTCCATCAGTAGGTTAAAGTTATAGCCAATAACATGAGCAGGAACAAATAATTACAGTGGAGTATAATCCCACTTGCATTATGACAAGACACCAGTTTATCTGTGGAGAAAAAAGCACAAGAACATCATGATGATGTTATTTCACAAAGAATCTTTCGGCTTTAGTTTACACGTGTGTGTGTGTGTGTGTGTGTGTGTGTGTGTGTGTGTGTGTGTGTGTGTGTGTACTGTTAGATGTTTCTCTTTTTTTGTCCTTTCCTTTTTCCAATAAAAAATATTTAATCATTCTGCTATGTGGTGTATGATTCCACAGTAAGTTTAATTGTGGAGGTGTATCAGTATTATTCACCCTTGTGTGATCTATGCTCAGAGAAGTGATGACTGACCCTCCTCTCCTCCCACTTAGACCTCCAAAACTTAGGTGAAACACAAGGGGAGCAAGACAGAATAAAACTCTCCTCCACAAGCTAAACGCCTTCCTAACAAAACCTGATGTAATGCCTCCTACTACAGATAACTACAGTAATGGTTAACAAATGTACACTCTCTATATCTTCTAAAGTGTTACATATTAAGATATAATGAAAAAGTATCTAGTCCTTACAGGATGTTAAAATTGGAAAAACAGAAACTGAGAGAAAGAATGTGGTGGACATTAGTGTCATTATTTAACAAAAACTAAGACAAAATGCAAAAAAAGGCTATGAAAAACTAAGAGTGACATATTTTTCAATAGCTTCCAGAACCTACTTTAGAAGCAATAATTTGAAGTGATCATTTTCTATTTGACTTTATCAGCCTCTCACATTGTTGTGGATGAATTTTGGTGCACTCTTCTTTACATTAGGGTTCGTTTTTTAAAATAAGCAGAGGTGAAAAAATACAGAAAGTTTTACCTTAGCAGAAGTACAATGCAAAGAAAAAAAGTAGCTATTTCAAGGACATTAGCTGTAACTTTAGCTAACAGACAAACTGTGCACATAAATAGATTGTGTGTTTGCTGATATTTGTGAAGGTTATAAAAACTTTTGAAATTAGCTGCCACTTAAAAAAGCATTAAAATCTTTATGCTCTCTCCTCCTCGCTAGTGCTAGGTACAGTCCTACAATTCATGACATCTGCACCAAAAGTGCAATAAAATCATTCTGGCCCGATTTAACCCCCTGAGTACAGTGCTGTAAATGATGCTTAAATTATATTTTTTGAACTTTTCATGTCTTTGTATGTGACAAGCTCTTGTGATAAACATACCAATATAGCTGGCTCAGTATTGTTCCCTCCATTTAAGCACAAATAAGTTTTGGTTTGCAGGGCAGGGAAGTAAAAACTTCCCTCAAACGTGTTGAACCTTAAGTGAAAACTAGAGTAAAGATCCAGATATTTCTGAAACAATGTAAAATTTGGTCAGAAAAATTAATATTTAAGTAATTTACCGATATCTGGAAACAGTTACAAAGCATTTGTACTTCATCACTTCCCAACTCTAGAGACAAGAGACTTTCTCCTAACAACCTTTCCAAACACGCCATACTTATTCTGTCTTTTTCTAGTTATAGTGGCGTGAACTTTAACATTTATGCTTGTAGAATCTGAGATCTACCTGCAGAGTTTTTGGAATTTCTCTGAATTTGCTGAGACATCCATTCCTGGTGTGCTTGGCAACTGTCTTTAATGTTTTCCACTGGTTAATAATTGAAGGACTTAAATTCTTTGGAAATAGCCCTATATCCCAGCAACAATTGTTTCTTCTAAGAGATGGCTGATGTATTTTCCTCAAATCCTCCAGACCAGCAAACTGGCACCATTTCCGTTATTATACGCGTTCACACTTGGTGGTGACCAGTTAATCAAATAGATCTGAGTAGCAACACCTGACTGTAGATCACCCTCTTTATTCCTACATTCCTTCATTTTTTTTAAGTAAATAATGACACTGTGGAATGTGTAATTTTTTTTTACTTCATCTGAGATTATATTTAAGATTCATTTTAAACCTGCCAAATTTATAGAAAATATACTTTCATTTAGACTATATAGAGTGATCTTTATATATGTGTCATGCATGTATGTGTGTAGGTGTTTGTGTATCCAACCTGACACGCTTTGGACTTTTGGGATAAATTTGCTCCAGAGCTGACATTCTTTGGCTTTCATCATTGTCTTTTCTTCTGGATGTTTATAATTCAGTGTGACATACTTCTGCTCTTGAACAGTAAACACAGGCCACTTAGCTCCCTCAAGGCCTGGATTTCTGAAACAGACAATAAATCAGTTCTAAGAATCATCAGGGTCTTCACACTAGTTGAGTGAGTGTCTGACCATCTGGTTATGCTTACCCTGTACGAGCAAAGTTGGCCCAGTGTTTCATAAACTTCTTGGTCATATTAACTTCCTCCTTTGTGTATCCCAGAGATGCATTCAGAGGCATTCCGAATACAAATTCTATCTCATACCCATGCATAGCACCCATCCACTCTGGCCAGGGATTGACTGATGAGTGGTGATCAAATAAATATACAAAAGGCTTACCACCATGTTGAGAGAGCCTGCAAAGTGTAAATAACAGAGATATATTATTATATTACAACAGGTTAGCTCAAGATGGATGAAACATAACAGAAAAATGAATAAAGTGGTTCATACAAACTGAGGAAAAAACACAAAAAATGCAGAAACATTGTTAGTGTTAGTAATTGTCATTTTTATACTGGTTTGCAGTTTTAAACTATTAGTAAGGTGGCATTTCTTCAAACCAGCTCTATTTGTCAGTGTTTTGTCAGGATTTGTTTGCAATAATCGCAAGAACATAAGAGTTGAGTCTTGTTCTTGTTCTTAGTCTCTAGATGTTGTGAGAATTGCGGTTTGTTGCAGCAGCTTCCGTAGTTAAGTGTGTTTTGCGGTTTTATTCATAGTTTCCTTTTTGTCTTTTTTTTTTAGATTTCAGTTTTTACAAACTATAGACCTTAGTCGTCTTTTTTGTAATTTTATGGTCCTCACTGTCTTTTTTATATTTGTCATGATGAGGGGTAAGACTGAGTGGAATGGCTCTGTGTTTCTATACACTCAGGACCTGGCACTCTCACACTCAGGATCTGGCACTTTCAAAAACACAACACTGCTGCCTGTAGCCAGACCGGTCATCCTGCAGGAACTCAAAAGGTGACGTAATCAGTGCCAGGCCAGAGTAAGAATATAATCAAGGAGAAGGAAACATAAACCCTCCTTTCCACCGGTCGTCATGGGGAATGTGAGGTCTCTTAAAAGTGGATAACTGGTAAAGCATCAGAGTAATCGGCAGTATCGGGAGCGCAGTGTATTATGCTTTACAAAGGTACCTGGACCACACCACCACAGTATCCGACTTTTTCATAGTTTGGCTGACAAAGACGCCAAGCTGAGCAATAAGAAGAAAAGATGGAGAGATTGCAGTGTTTGTTAATAAATGGTGATGCAATCCAGGACATGTTATCTACGATGAGAATTCTCCGCTATATTAATACGTGTTTATGTAGTAGCTAATGGGTCAGCAGCATGTGACATCACACACGGGACTTTCACTGACCTAAAGCATAAACCCCCAGAGCCTTTCATCACCATCACTGGCGGTTTCAACCATATCTAGCCTCCACTATGCCAACTTTAAAGCAGTATCTGGTCAAAACATGAAAAAATAAAACTTTGGATCTTCTGCATGCAAACATGCAGGATGTATACAAAGCCACTGCCCTCGCCAACTATGTAGATCAGACCAAAACCAGGTCCTGTTAACATCTCAGTATGTTCTTGCAGTTCTAAGACTTCCTGTTGCCACCAAGCCTGTGAGAAGAATTCTGGAGTCAGGGAGCCAGTGAGACTGCATACTGGGACATGCTGAATGAAAAGTAGAGGATCTTCAGGCCTGGGAACAAGGACAAGTTGAGAAACCTACACCATGACCTAAAGGCAGGGCTGAGAAAGTGTAAAGATACCTACAGAGAGAAGCTGGAAACCAAACTCCAGTTGAATAATTTCAAACAATTGTAGAGAGGGATGCAGCTGATCACTGGCCTCAATCAAAGAGATCAACAGCAGCAGGAGGGCAGCATGGATACAGTCAATGAGCTACATGTGTTTTACAACAGGCTGAGTACTAGACCTCTGTTGATCTCTTCACAAAGCACCAATCTAATTACACCACCACAGTGACTTCATGAAGGCAAAGCTGCAGACCTTGATCGCATCAGTCCCAGGGTCCTGAAGTCCTGTGCTGCTCAGCGGTCTGCCACCCTGCCCTTCAGCCTGCCACATCTATTACAACTGTGATCTTCTTCTTTTTGTCAGCCATAACTATGTCTGGTTGGCTGGCTAGGAGCTGCTAGTCAATGTGGAAGTCAAAGTCCCAAAGGACCTCGGTCTTGACTACTTAGGTCTTGTTCTGCTGGCATGATCAGAGCCTCTGTGTTGTCCAATAAGCTGGCTTTTTTCTAGTCACTGTGGATGGAACCTGTTAGAGTGAATTGTTAAATGTTGTCATTTCTATGCTTGCCAACTCTGATGAAAGAAATTCCACTGTCCTTCCCCTCAGATTCTCGAGGTTCTGGATGGGGGGGCTGTAATGTTTTATTGCAGATACATCCTATCTGGAAGATCTGCTTCTTTTGATGTAAGCTTCCTGCGTTTACGACCCTTTGGTCAGCAGGACAATAAAGAAATTGAATTGAAATTGAATTGAATTGGAGGTCTGACACACACACACACACACACACACACACACACACACACAC